AGAAATAGCGGAGCTCTGCAGATACACTTTTTGCCGGCTTGGAATTCTCCTTCTTCTCATCCTTCTTCTTCTTCTCATCCTTCTTCTTCTTCTCATCCTTCTCCTTCTTCTCATCCTTCTTCTTCTTCTCTTCTTCTTCTCATCCTTCTTCTTCTTCTCATCCTTCTCCTTCTTCTCATCCTTCTTCTTCTTCTCATCTTCTCCTTCTTCTCATCCTTCTTCTTCTTCTTCTCATCCTTCTTCTTCTCATCCTTCTCCTTCTTCTCATCCTTCTTCTTCTCATCCTTCTTCTTCTTCTCATCTTCTTCTTCTCTTCCTTCTCCTTCTTCTCATCCTTCTTCTTCTTCTCATCCTTCTCCTTCTCATCCTTCTCCTTCTTCTCATCCTTCTTCTCATCCTTCTCCTTCTTCTCTCCTTCTTCTCATCCTTCTCCTTCTTCTCATCCTTCTCCTTCTTCTCATCCTTCTCCTTCTCCTTCTTCTCATCCTTCTCCTTCTTCTCATCCTTCTCCTTCTCCTTCTCTTCTTCCTTCATCCTTCTCCTTCTTCTCATCCTTCTCTTCTTCTTCTCATCCTTCTCCTTCTCCTTCTCATCCTTCTCCTTCTTCTCATCCTTCTCCTTCTTCTCATCCTTCTTCTTCTTCTTCTCATCCTTCTTCTTCTTCTCATCCTTCTCCTTCTTCTCATCCTTCTTCTTCTTCTCATCCTTCTCCTTCTTCTCATCCTTCTGCTTCTTCTCATCCTTCTCTCTTCTTCTCATCCTTCTCCTTCTTCTCATCCTTCTTCTTCTTCTCATCCTTCTTCTTCTTCTCATCCTTCTTCTTCTTCTTCTCATCCTTCTTCTTCTTCTCATCCTTCTTCTTCTCATCTTCATCTTCTTTCATCCTTCTTCTCATCCTTCTCCTTCTTCTCATCCTTCTTCTCATCCTTCTCCTTCTTCTCATCTCCTTCTTCTCATCCTTCTCCTTCTTCTCATCTTCTTCTCCTTCTCCTTCTTCTCATCCTTCTCCTTCTTCTCATCCTTCTCCTTCTCCTTCTTCTCATCCTTCTCCTTCTCCTTCTCCTTCTTCTCATCCTTCTCCTTCTTCTCATCCTTCTCCTTCTCCTTCTCCTTCTTCTCATCCTTCTCCTTCTTCTCATCCTTCTCCTTCTCCTTCTCCATCCTTCTCCTTCTCCTTCTTCTCATCCTTCTCCTTCTCCTTCCTCATCTCCAAGGGCATTTAAATTAAAGGTACAGTGTTCTGCACTAATTTAAAGGCTCTCTGAAGCCTAGAAAGCCTTTTTATAAGTTGAATTCGTAGCGATATAAATTCGCATCGAATCGAATTTCTTCCTCAAATTCGGCGAATCAGCCAAATCGAATTTTTGAATAATTCACTCATCTCTACTGACAATAATCATGACATTTACTGACAGCATAACATTTCTTACTTACACATCAAAAAAGTACATAAAATGGCTGTTTTAAGCACAAAACAGTGCAAACATCAATATGTAACATGGACCTGGATGAGGCTTTTCTGTCAGTCGGGGAGTTCGGCTGGTATCAGAAGCGGCTGACCGGCTTCCTAGTGCTGCTGCAGCTTCTAACAACCCGCAGAGCTACATGAAAGGAGAGATAGAGCCATATTGACAGCGGAGTGAGCAGTGAGGGGAATATCTGACCAGACCATATCCATCCATAAAGGGGCCTCCAGTTCATCCACTGAGAGTACTGTCTCTAAATGTGCTCATTGATTGCGCATCTGGTGAGTGCGCAGTCTTTATAATATTGGTCACTTCACTATAATACTGGATGGAACACTTATTATTGAAGATTATTTGATCTTCTATACACACATATTAGCACCATTGGTCACCATACAGTGATGGACTTCCTGTTATTACTGAGTCACTTTATTTTGAATGATTTATCTGGCACCTTGTCACAAGTCACTTTATTTATATATTTATGTGATTATTAATATATTTTATGTACGGAGTTTTTACATTGATAATTGGAATTTTAGCGCTGCACCTTATTTTATATTGAAGTTTTGGAGGTTATTTTGGTATGCTTTGGTGTTTTAGCGGCTTCTGGACTTTTAGCGCTCACTTGGTCTATTTTGTGTTTTATACTGCTTTTATCAATATGTAAGCTACAAAGATGTAGCAAGTGCTATTGGCAATGTTATTAAGGTATAGCAATAGGCAAAAAACATCTTTCTCCATTTACATGAAGGTCAGGTTAATATAACCCAGCACAGAGTTCCCCTTTTACAGTGCAAGGGGGAACTCTACAGACCCTGACGTAAAAGGGAACACTGTGGACTCTGATGTAAAGGAGAACTCTGAGGACTCCGATGTAAGGGGGACTGCTGCAGACTCTGGTGTAAAGGTAAAATCTGATGTAAGGGGGTCTCTGATCACCACAGCCCCCTCCTTACACAAGAGTCCTTACATCACAGTCCACAGAGACTGAAGACCTACTACAAGAGATGGCCAGAGACTACGGACATACTACAGGAGACAGAGACACTGCGGACATACTACAGAAGATGGTCAGAGGCTGCATACATGGTAGAAGATATGGTCAGAGACCACAGACGTGGCACAAGAAATAATCAGAAACTGCAGACATGGTACAGAAGATGGTCAGAGACTGTAGAAATACTACAGGAGATGGTCAGAGACTGTGGACATACTACAGGAGATGGTCAGAGACTGCAACCATGGTACAAGAGATTGTCAAAGACTGCTTATATTTCACATGAGATGATCAGAGACTGCAGACGTAGTACAAGAGATGATCAGAGACTGCGGACATGGTATAAGAGGTGATCAGAGACTGTGAACATGCCACAAGAGATGATCAGAAACTGCGGATATGGTACAAGAGATGATCAGAGACTGTGGACATGCCACAAGAGATGATCAGAGACTGCAGTCTTGGTACAAGAGATGATCATAGACTGCGGACATGGTACAAGAGATAATCAGAGACTGTGGACATGCTACAAGAGATGATCATAGACTGCGGACATGGTTCAAGAGATAATCAGAGACTATGGACATGCTACAAGAGATGATCATAGACTGTGGACATGGTACGAGAGATAATCAGAGACTGTGGACATGGTACAATGGATGATCAGAGACTGCGGACATGGTACAGAGATGATCAAAGACCGTGGACATGGTACAAGAAATGATCAGAGACTGCAGACATGGTACAAGAGATGGTCAGAGACTGCAGACATACTGTACTACAGGAAATGGTCAAAGACTGCAGACATACTACAGGAGACTGTCAGAGACTAGTTTGACTGTAGGTATAGTAGACTTGCCCTGTTTACTCATTGTGTCTGTGTCCCTCTTCTCAGTCCCTCATGATGTCCTCAGTGGTCCCCAAGCAACCTCTGGCTGTACAGCTGTAGGGTGATGATAACTGTGTGGAGGGCCTCAGTCTGGGCAGTCAGTGAGGAGGCTCGGGGGCGCACACACACACACACTAACAGGATGCCAGAGCAGGACGTACACCCTAACTAGCCCATCGTCATATTGACATCAGTCGGGCCATGCTGTCACAATCAAAGCAATTGCAATTGTGAGGTAGGCTGGTCATCTCCAGCAACAGGTTTAGGTGCTTCTTTTCCTGCTTCCACTTGGCACTGGCCAGCATCTCAAAGGAGATCTTGTTGGTGTGCAGCATCTGCAGTCCCGATGCTAGGTACGGGCTCAGTGATCTGGTCAGCGGCTGAGCTCAGCTGTCTGTTGGGTCTCTGACTCCTGGCCTGGCCCGCTGCCTATGCTTTAGTTCATAAAAGACGCCACCGCATTAACAGCACCATAGTGTCCATGTCCATGGCAGCCATAGTGGCTTCAGAACAGCATATGCACACTTCAGAAACCAGCCCACGGCCATGTTTTTTACGTGCAGCTGCCGTCCATAATAGACATTAATGGACAGTGTAAAAATCGGCCAATTTTTACAAACTGTCTGTAAATTTATGTACAGTTGGCAACCTTGGATCACACACTAACCTGATAGACAAAGCCATACAAAGCAGTGTGCTGGTGCTGACAGGGGAGAGATCTGTATTGTTTACATACAGGTCTCCCCCCCACAGCACACGCGCCCCCTACCTAGAACTGCAAAATCATGTATATATATATATATATATGATTTTTTGTACCCGTACCGCCCTGTAGCAGCATTTCTACTATACAGCAGTGCAGAAGCAGTTAAGCTGCTGGCAGTGAAGAGGAGAAAGAAATGGAGCAGGCTTCACTCTCCCATGTATTGAGAGTTGTACATAGTTATATAGTTACATAGTCCGGCTGAAAAAAAGACCAAAGACCATCTATTTCAACCGTAAAAGACAAAAAAAAAAAGTTATAATCCTACACCCACAGTTGATCCAGAGGAAGGCAAAAAATATCCAGCAAAGCATGATCCAATTTGCTCCTACAGGGGAAAAAAATCCTTCCTGATCCCCTGAGAGGCAATTGGATATTCCCTGGATCAACTTTACCTATAAATGTGAGTATCCAAAATATGTGTATCTAGGAAAGAATCCAGGCTATTTTTAAAGCAATCTACTGAGCTGGCCAGAAACAAGTCTTGATTATTAGTGACTACAAAACCCCCACTGATGACGCTAAAGGTTAAATATTAAATTTCATTCTTGGTCCACCCCATTCTGACCTTAAAAAGAATTATACCTGCCATCTCTCCTGGCCTTTTTTGGTTCTCAGGCTCTGTGAAAAAGTCATGCAATATTTCTTGCACTGGACCATATTTTTAATGTTTGTCATATTTTTAATGTTTCCTGCAGAGTAAATCCTGCATTACACCTTGAAATTTGCAAATTATTTGATGACCCGAAAACAAAAAAAATAATTTATGGTTGTTGTCCCTCAGATAATATAATCTACAGTTTATTTCAAGATAAAAAATCTCTCATGTCTCTCTTGCTTTTGTTTTTAGATCAAAACAAGCTGCCAGACAATACTGTCCAACTACTGAACAATATTTGTGACTATTGTCATAACCACTTCCCAACCACGCTATAGCCGAAAGAAAGATGGCTACAGCACGGTTGTCCAGTTCTGGGAGGGCGTCCATGGACATCCTCCCAGAACTTGCCCCCTGTGCACCCCAAGCAGCTCACACTCGGCGCTGTCGGTGATAAGGTAAAAGGCCAATCACAGTAGCCTTTTACCACATGATCAGCTGTGTCCAATGACACAGCAGAAATTCTGAAGGGCCTTCTGCACACTGGTATATACCCTTTCAAGCAGACTCTGCAATAAATAGGGATATTTGGTTCACACAGCAGATCATTTTTCAATGACACAGCAGATCACAATGTAAATACAGTGGCCAGTGAAGAAAGTACTGCCGATAACTGGCAAATGTGACAGGGGAGATCTGCACTAATAATTAGGGCACTGATGATTATCAGTGCTATCCAGCAGTGGCTAGAAGTGTCACCCATCAGTGCCCAGCAGTGCCACCCACCAGTGCCCAGCAGTGCCGTCTGTCAGTGCCTCCAGTTGGTGCTATCAGTCAGGGCCGCCGATCAGTGCCCATTATTGCCGCATATCAGTGCATCATCAGTACCTCCTCATCAATGCCCATCATCGCCACCTCATCAGTGCTACCTATCAGTGCCACCTTATCAGTGTCCATCAGTGCTGCCTATCAGTGCCCATCAGTGCTGCCTATCAGTGCAGCCTCATCAATGCAATGAAATCAGTGAAGCAGACAAATTATCAGTTTGAAAAATTTTACAATAGAAACAAAGAAAACCTTTTTTTTTTCAAATGTTTCGCTCTTTTTTCATTTACAGTGCAAAAAATAAAAACCCAGTGGCGATTAAACACAACCAAAAGAAAGTTCTATTTGTGCGAAAAAATGACAAACATTTCATATGGGTACAGTGTTGCATGACCGCACAATTGTCATTCAAAGTGCGACAGCACTGAAAACTGAAAATTGGCCTGGGCAGGAAGGGGGGGGGGGGGGGGGGAACTGCCTGGTAGGCAAGTGGTAAAACAATACACTTTTTTTTTTGGTTTACAAACTTTTTTATTAGTGGGTAACCACATGTGGTGCAAAACAAGAAAAACATCTTGCGTCAAATTAAGAAATCACATAAGCAAGATGTAGTACAAAGTAAAACATACATTTTACAATTGCAAAATTTACAAGTGACTGTGACATGAAAAAACGTAGAACTGTTCTGGAGAGTTGCTGATAAAACAATACATGTCAATTAGAGCAAGATGCAAGATATGAAGCAGTAAATCAACAAATAGTTTATGCTAAGTGTCAAAGGTGAATTATTCAAAGATATTACATTTATCAAACCAAGGGTTCCATTTTTTTCATAATAAGGCATAGTATTGCTTAGGGTCTGAAATATTTTCTCAACTCTATTAATAGAATCCACTCTCAGTTTAACTTGGGAAAGGGGAAGTGAGGACGTTTTCCAGTGTAAGGCAACTACCAAATGAATGGAAACACAAATAGTGTGAATCATTCTCATCAATATACAGTAATGGGAACCTCTAAAATGAGAGCAAATAATAGGCAATGTGTGTGAGTGAGAGATATCTGAGTACCTGCTAAAGTATTTAGTTTACTCCATATTGAAGAAATATGGTCATATTCCCAAAACAAATGAAGAAAGGTGTTGGGTACAAGGCAACCACTAAAATACTGTGGAGATACTGTAGGGAATAAAGAGTATAACTTGTACCTGCGGGTACTACCTTTATTGCCTTGGAGAAATATATCCCAGAGTGGCGAGGTAGTAATGCAAAAAGAACAATTTCTACAGCTAAAACTAGCTGGATATATCGGCTCAAGAGTTATGCACGTGGGGTCTTAACATTGAGTGGGACATTAACTGTTTCATTAACAATAGTTGAAGTTTAAGTTTGTTGTATTTTATTAATATCCTTTGTATCTAACTTTGATCTTTAGTCACAGAGAATTACTATCTTTTCAATGGGTTTTTGAAGTTTTGCCACATTTATGGCTTTTAATATTGAGTCATAATGATTCATTTGGGCACCAGTGAATGTGACACATTTTTTTGAACCATCAATATATTTATAATTACATGTTCGAATTTTTAATTTTAAATATTTTTTTATTAATAATAAGTTTTATTTTACAATTTTATTCTATTTTATTTTTTATCATTGAGGTACTTGTTTTTCAACCCTAGACTGCGCCTTAATGTAGTATTAGTAAGCTTTAGCAGGCTGACTCATTAGTGAATATAAGTTTAACACTTGCTCTAAAGTTTGTAACCACTGGGTTGAGCTGCAATTTGGTTCTTCACACCCATAGTGGTTCACTATTGTTGTTATTTGGTTTTTCCAACATTAGATAGCGCTATCTTGATCCTTTGGAGCTTCAGGTCCTATATAATGAATGTGGAAAGGTGTGTGGGTGTGCCACTGATGAGGCCATTTATGACAAACCACGTAGGGCGGAGCCATGTACACTCGCTGCCGCGCATGCATGACCAGCTGGTGGCCATTATGGATGCTGGAGGAATTTGATCTTTTTGTTTGTATGTGCTCATTTATATCTACTATCATGTGAGTGCAACCATATTTGAAATAAATGTTACTCTAAAGATTTTACACTTTGTGGAGCAATTTTCTTTTGCATGTTTTATACCACGTGTTTTGGTCCCATTTGGAGCAGTATAGCTACCCTAACTAGGGATCTTTGTAAGAGGATCTTTGGCATTTCTCCCTTGGGGATCCAGAGGAAGATTTGGCTTTCCAGCCCTCCAGGTCATTATACAATAAAGCGTGATTGACCACTCTTATCTGGTTAAGCCTTTCATGTGAGTGGTTGGTGACAAATCAGCTATCCTTGGATTTTTCCTGTTTCATCGCAGCCTTTGGGGACTTTTCACTATTTGAGATGTTATGATGGACATTTTTTTCACTAAATGTTTTCATAATTGTTTGTAATTTTGTTAAGCACTGCACTTTATATGTACATTATAGAGTATAACTTGACTAGAGTCAAATACCATCTTGTGAAGCGTTTAATGGTGGCCTAGTGCATTTCCTTAAGTTCATCCCACTTCACATTAGTAAAGTCTAAGGAACATTCAGATTCCCACTTAGACATATACAAGAAATTATCTTGAGAATTGAGGCTGCAGAGATGCA